GGGGGGGAGGCCGTGTGCCGCTGCAGCTGGCATTGGGTTGCCAGTGCGCGCGCTGCCTTCTTGTCTCGTTTGCACCTGTTGTGCCTCCTGTTGTGCCTACCTGTCTGTGGCCTTGTCTCTATGAAAGCATCATTGATGCAATCTTATCCTTCGCCGGGCTCATGGATGGCGCGCGTGCATGTGTTGTCAGGGTACCCACGATGCAGCAGCAGGACGCGCTGAAACACCTGACGGCGGAGCAGAAGTGGGAGACGGTCGTGACCGAGCGAGCGAAGACCAAGGGGGGTGGCAGCCGGCGAGGGTCTACGGGCGGGATAAGTGAGGAACAACAAATAGGCAAAGAGAGAGAGAGCGCCGATGGAAAAAATAGCGAGGTCGACAGACCTTGGATATTGTTGTGGGCGCAAGAGAGATAGAGAGAGAGATGTAGGAGAGGTGTGCTGCAGATACCGTGTTTTTTGGTTTGGTGCAAAGGACTGAGCGAGGTAGAAGCAGGCGGCAGACCCTTTGTGGTTAGTACGGAGACAGGTTAGAGGAAGGAGACGAAAATACCTCCTGTCTTGGGCGTTAGATTTGGTGCGGCGGGAAATGTGCGACAATAACAGCCACAGCAAGCAGCACGTGAAGACCTGGATGGCGTTGTCGTTGCTGACGTTGTTGTGGGCACGGCGGGAGGATGCTGCTGCCGCTGTTGCTCCCCGGTTCCGATTCACCGACCGGCCGACGATGAGGGCCAGTAACGGCAGTGATTGGGCCGCCCGACCGCATGCAACCGTCGCTTTTTGCTGTTTCAAGGACCGCTTCCTCTTCGCACTCGCGCGCACGCGCTGACTTGACTTGATGACGACTGCTCTGCGTATCGCCCTGCTGCTGTTGTTGTTGCTGTTGCTGCTGTTGCTGCTGCTGTTGCTGCTGTTGCTGCTGTTGCTGCTGCTGTTGTTGCTGCTGTTGCTGTCACTGCTTTTGCTGCTGCCGCCTCTGCTGTTGCTGCTGCTGCCGCCGCGGCCGCTGTGTGCACCGCCTTCTGCTGCAAGCAGCACCCAGCGGGCGCGTGTCCTCCCGCTCCGTGCTCCCCTCAAACGACGCCGAGAGCACCGCGGTGGACTACGCGGAGCAACTCCTCTCCCCGGGAATGCCGCCGCTCGACGAGATCAAGGACCTCAAGGTGTGTTTTTTGTGACGGTACTGGATGGTTGTAGCCGTACGAAAAAATACACTGAGAAGTGTAGTACCTTGTACTCCACTTTCACTAAAGGTGTAGTAGACGTCTCAGGACGAAAAACGGGGGGACTGCTGTCGCCATAATACATAGGACGAAAATACAACCTTAGTAAGAGGAAGAGAGGGGGGGCAAAGTGTACTCGTGCCAACGCTTGCCGTCGTCGTTAGACGGTTGACGGCGCGTGCCGGGACGGAGGAGCGATAAACCGACCCAGGCCACGTTTCACGAGGCTGGACCAGGAGCTGGTCATCATCCGCGCGTGGAGGGGGCGGGGGGGGCGTACTCTTGTATTGCATGCCTTCGACGGTTGATCACGCGCCTTCGGAGAGGATAGGGCGTGGGGTAGAACGACGGCGTCGCTCGCGAGGGAGGTTCCCCCAAGGGACCAGCCAGATGGGAGGTAGTATATACCCTCAAGCGCGAGGCGACCCCCTCCCCCTCCCTCCCCCCCCGCCCCCCTGCTGTCCTGTTGTAGCTGACCCTGCGAGGGGCCAGCAAGCACTGGCTGGTTGAGTTTTACGAGGCAGGCGGGCTGACCGCGCTGGTGATGAACCTCAGCGACGTTGAGGTGATTGAAGACAAGACCGACCGGGATGTTCAGGTAAGGCCGGCCAGGGCAAGCTGAGAGGCGGTAGGCAGATTGGTGCGGGTGAGAGGCGTGAGCCGCCGCGGCGGGTTGGTCGAGGGCGATCTCCTGCGAGCGGGAAGTTGTTTTTTCGGCTTGAGCCTCGACCGCTTGGTAGTTTAGCCCCAAGGGTGGGGGCAATGCTGTTTGGTTGACGCGGGCAGAGGGGATGGAAGAGAGGTCGGTCAAGCGTGTCCAGGCGGTGTGGAGGCATCCGCGGAGGAAAGGGGTTGTAGGCGGTGGGTGTTGGCACTAACTTTTTTTTTTTTAATTCATTCGAACCGTGATCGTCGCTTGTAGTATGGCACCGCCGAAGGTGGAGCGGTCTTACCTCTCCGTCCGGACAGCTTCGGTCCGGGGTCACGCAGAGTACGATACGTTCCTCTGCCATGATGTGGAAAAGATTTAGCGGGAAGCTGGCCTCCTTGTGTGTGGTACTGCTGTAAGGCTGCTGATCGAAAATACCACGGGCGAAGAATTCCAGATGTTGGTGAGCGGCCCCGACGTTTGGACGTTGGGGCGTTGAGGGTATGCACCTCAGAGTTGTGGTTTTTTCGTTTGGAGGAGATGGATTTGGTTGTGATGTCCACGAGAGGATTGCAAATGCTGCCGCTCAGGGCTTTTTTTCTCAAGATGTTGAGTGCCGCCTCAAACCCCCCCTTTCTATTCCACGTGCCTCCCCCCCCCCCCCTCCCCCCCAGCTGCAAGTGGAGCTGCTCAAGTGCCTGAAGGCGTCCCTGAACAACCAGCTGGGCATTGACTTCCTGGCGGCGAGACCAGAGGTGGTGGGGATCCTAGCGCTTAACTTCGGCTCGGAGGACGTCTTCATCTGCACACAGGTGTGTGCCTTCTTCCCTTTTCCTCGTTCGTACATCAACATTGGCGGTGGTGTCCTGCGGGTGTAAGGTTCTAAATTGTGGTGCCCCGCCAAGGATGCCGTATGTGATACGACACAAGATATCACACCCCCTGGACAAAAAGTTCAGAGCTCGACCACTCCACGACGAAGGGAGATATATATAAAAGACCAAACGATAGGATTTCGTGTAAAGGCCCGACGAGACGGTGGTGACGGTGTTGGTATTTTCCGTATGCGTGAGAGGTTGGCACGGTGGATGCCACTCACGCCTTGGGCGAGCGGTCGGGCGGAGAGCGTGTAGCTTGTCTTTCTGCTGCCTCTCTTCGTACGTACGCTTTTTTTTTTTTCTGGCCGCTATACAACTGCCCTGAAGTTCGAATGTCCGGAGCTGACTGCGGGATTGCCGAGAGTCAATACGACACGACAATCTACGCGTTGCGTCCCCCAAAAATAGTATGCCCAAAACTTGAAATATGTAATACCCAAAACAAAGACACAACACGCCATCACCAACCACCACAGTTCTTGGCTTCCCAAAACACCGCGAACCACGGCACCCCATACACACCTTGGAGGAAGGATTTGGTGTGTTGATCGGTAGTAGTAGTTGGGACCTTCACCAAGCATCAGGAGCAAAAGAACAACAACAACAACAACAACAACAACAACAACCGATGTACCTGCGCAAATCGCTAACACGTCGACGACGACGACGGCGATGGCGATGAGCAGGCTTTGGAGCTGTTGGCGGTTCTGATGGTGGACGGACCCGAGGGCTACCGCGCGGTCTTGGCCGCGATGGACTACTTCAAGCTCGTCAAGGGGGAGCGGGTCCGCTTCTACTCGCTGCTGGACGCCCTCATGACGGACGAGGCGGACCTCGCCTTCAAGCGTGACGTCATGCTCTTCATCAACACGCTCGTCAACAGGTGTGGTTACTCGCGTCGTGTGGTCGTCTTGCCCGTGGTTTGTTTCGTGTGTGTGTGTGTGTGTGTGCTCTTTGGGTTGGTCGTCAACAGATGTGGTTGCTAGAGTCGCTGTTGTGGTGGCCTCGCCCGTTGTTTGTCGACTGTGTGTGCTCTTGATTGGTTGTCAACAGGCGTGTTTGCTCGCGGCGTGGTTGCTGTGGTGTTTGCTCGTTGTTCGCATGTTGTGTGATTGGTAGTCCACCGGTAGGTGTGGTTGCTCGTGTCGCGGTGACCTTGGCCTTCTTGTTTTCGTGTGTGCTCTTGATTGGTTGCCGCCTCGGGGAGGCGTGCTGTCCTAATTCTCTTCCTGATCGTCGGTCATTCGAGCGAAAAGAGTGCTGGTTTCGATTTGAGGCTGTTGACGAGGACGCCTCTCCTCAACAGGAAATATTTCGTGTGATCGTTGGCGTCGACCGCGCCATGTATTCGTCAGCCTCCGTGTGACCAATATCAGAAAACTTTTGTAGTGGCCGTGATCCGTGGACGGGGAGGGTAGACTGGCGCTCCTGTTGAAGAAGGAAACGATAGCAGACGATTTGTGTGTGGGTGTTCCTTTAATTTGCGTCAACCGCGCTAGCTCGCTGGCCAACGTGGTTGTGTCACTCGCCCTCCCCCACCCCCTGTTGGGGAAGCCCGGTGACCAGAGTGCGTGTTCGTGTATTTTTGTCCTGCTGTAAGACCTACAGCAAAAGGGAGCGCGTGGGTGTGCGTGCATGTGTCGGTGTGTGTGTGTCACTACAACCGCTCTCGATGGGTATGCTCGGGGACGAAGTAGTTGTCGATGAACACGCCTCTCCCCCAAGGGTGCGGTGTTTGTCGTCGCCTACATTAGTTTTCAAGAAGCAGTTGGGGGGGGGGGGGGGGG